CCCATCACCCAAAGTAACAACTGTCTACTATCTAGAAAACGACTCACCCTTCTTCTCTCTCCCATCCCTAGTAACCATCAAAGAACACTGCTTTCTTTGTGTATATCTGTTCTTGACTTTTTGTTAATAGTGGGACCATACAATATTTGTCTTTTTGTGATTGACTTATTTCATTCAGTATAATGTCCTCCAGATTCATGCATGTTACGTTTTGCGGACACCTCATTATTCTTTACAGTTGTGTAGTACTCCATTGTATGTATGTACCACAATTTGTTTACCCATTCATCTGCTGATGTTCACTTAGGTTATTTTGATCTTTTTTGCTATTGTGAATAATGCTGCAATAAACATAGGTGTGCGTATGTCTATTCATGTTATTGCTCTTATATCTGTAGGATATATACCTAGAAGTAGGATTGCTGGATCATAAGGTATTTCTATTTCTAGCTTTTTGAGAAAGCACCATATTGTTTTCCATAGTGGCTGTACCATTTTACAATCCCACCAGCAGTGTATAAGAGTTCCGATCCCTCCACAACCTCACCAGCATTTATTATTTTCTGTTTTCTTTTTTTGTTCATTGCCATTTTTGCAGAGGTGAGATGGTTATCTCATTGTAGTTTTGATTTGCATCTCTCTAATGGCTAATGATCATGAGCATCTCTTCATGTGTTTGTTAGCTGCCTATATGCCCTCTGTTCGTGTCCTTTGCCCATTTTTTGATTGGACTGTTCGTCTTTTTGTTGCCGAGTTGTTGAAGTTTTCCATGTATTTTAGAGATTAGACCCTTGTCAGAAAGGTCTTTGCCAAAGATTTTTTCCTAGTCTGTAGGTTCTCTTTTTTACTCTCTTGGTAAAGTCTTTTGATGAGCATAAGTATTTGGTTTTTAGGGGGTTCCGGTTATCTAATTTATCTTCTATCATTCGTGCATTTTTAGTTTTGTTTTCCATATAAAGTTGGATATTAGTTTTTCTATTTCATTAAAGAATGTTGTTGGGATCTGGATTGGGATTGCATTGTATCTATAGATCACTTTGATAGTATTGACATTTTCACAATGTTGATTCTTCCAATCCACGAGCATGGAATGTTTTTCCATTTATGTAGATCTCTTCTAGTTTCTTGCAGTAGTGTTTTACAGTTTTCTTTGCATAACTCTTTTACATCCCTGGTTAGGTTTACTCCTAGGTATTTTATCCTTTTGG